TATAGTTTAGGTACTAAATGCAAATTTTCCCCTATTTTTAAATTATTCTCCTACGTGAAACCCTATAACTACCATACAAACTTACCAGGTTAAACACAACTTAGAAATCTCTGTTCTTCTCCTCTAGTTTCAGTGATAAGCTCTGACAAAAGTATCGTTTGTGATCTCTACGGTTGTGTTATTTTATGCTAATCATCTAATTATTGTATATTGTGAGATAGACGAAGGACAATCTCGAGCACCAAAAAATGGTCAAAAGTCTATCTTAAGGAAATTGTGTCGCTATAGCCTAATCTTGTTTCCAATCCGTTAATCTGCTAGAAATTTTGTATTTATTTCTAAATTGTTCTTTTTTATTATTGATAAATTATTTTTTCTTTTATCTTTTCTTCTCGGATCGTTATAATTGTAACAATAACAAAGATTAAATTAGTATAATATCTAAATAGTGAAGGTTATATTTTTTTAAAATTTAAGATCAAATTAAAACAAAGTATAAATATTAATGGTTACATTTATTAGTATATCAATTTTATTAAGTCATCTCTCATTACATCTTTAATAAAAAAAAGTAACTTATCCCTTTTTATTACTATTATAATTTTTTTCAATAAAAAAATAATTTTATTATTTTTTATTAGTATAAATATTGAACACATATGATCATTTTATAACTTTTATAATTAAATATGCAACTAGAAAATGCACTATAGTAATTTATCCTTTTTTATTACAACAAAGAGGGATAGTAATACACTTTGATCCTTTACTATAATCCTTAAAAATAAAGGATGAAGTATACAATTGATCACTAAATTATATTGAAGTAATCCTTTTGGTAATTCAAGTTTTAAAAATTATAAAATTGTCATTAAACTTTTTAATAATTACAAAATAGTCACTAAACATTATAAAACCATAGCAAAGTGGTCATTAAACATATCAAACTATTATAAAATAGAACTTATCAATATTTTATAATGTATAATGATCATTTTGTACCTTCTAAAACTTCAATGACTAAAAATGTTATTTTAACATAATTTAATGATGATTTGTGTGCTTTACCAAAAAATAAAAAGAAAACGGAAAACATTGAAAAGTAAAATATAATAAGTACATGCATATAATTACGTTTAAACCCTAATTAAACAAAATAATCGTTTTCCTTTAATTGTGATTGGCAAAACATACAAAGGTTCAAAGTTGTGATAACTTATGGGCTCTAACTTTGCCTAATTCTTCACTAACACTTGGGTCCCATAATACTATATTTGTTTTCGTTTTTTGTGGACAAATGGTACCCATTTTCTCTTCCATGCCTATCCATTATTAAAGATAGGTTTAAACATAGCTCACGTTGAATTTACTTTATACTATTAATTTAAACTTAGATTCGATTTAATTTAACTAATTATTTAACGATGAAGATTTAAATATTTTACAATTGTTGGTGTTTAAATCCGAACTTTTAGAGTTACAATCATCCCTTTAATCCCTTTAACTACTAAGTAGCTTAGTTCGTGTTAATTATTAACCATTCAAACTCATTAATAGATTGGCTCAAAATTATATGAAAAATTAATTTAAAATTAAAGGGGTCAATATTAACCTAGAGATGCGTTCAAAATTGGATAAGTCTCCCTTTAGATAATTTTGACTCAAAAGAAATTTCTAGATCACTGGGTTGTTGAAGCATGAAACAATCAACCCAAGATATATTAAAATTTTTGTTGTCCTAGGACATGTTCCTAGGAAAATCTCTTTTTTTTTTTTAAATGTTTAAAAATGTTTAATATAAAAATATTTTTTTAAATGTTTAATATAAAAATAAGTGTTTCAATTATGTCTCAAAAAAAAATTAGTGTTTAAAGAATTTTTTGTAAAATATAGGTGTCTAAAGTTTTCTCTGCTACACTTTTATATGTCTATTGTTAAAAAACGGTTAAGTGATATGTGTCACGCCTATATTTAAAAAATATTATTTTTTAAACAATATCTAGACGTGAAACGTGTCATTTAACTATTTCTTTTAACGGTAGGCACTAGGCACTAAAATTGAGTATAATTTAGTCACTTATTTTTATATTAAGCCTTTTAAAAATACCCTAATTTTAAGACATAAGAAATCGAAAATGCTTTCAAATTCGATACTAAAAATCAATTATAATAAAAAGTTGGTTTAAGTGGTAAGCAACTTGATGGCATTCAAGTAAAATTTAAGTTCGAGTCATTGTGTATACAAAAAATCTCAGTTTATAGACTCATCCATCAAAACCAGGTGTGTGACATAGGTCATCTGAATTTAATTAAGACAAACTGACAAAGTCTTGAGAATCAAAACAAAAAAAATTATTCCCGTTGAAATGGTAATCTTTGTTTTAATTAGATAGTTTAAATATAGGAAAATTCTACGGTGCTTGACGAGCAGCGATGAGCACCACTAATAACGAGCATAATTAATTTAATTTATAAAAAATTTAAATTCTAAAGGACTCAAAGTATAATTACAAATTAGTTAAAAATTTAAAGATAAATCATTTAAAATAAAGGATAAATTATATCAGTGACCATCTAACTATTGCACTTTTCATTTTTTATCAATATTTTTAAAATTTTGTTAATTGGGTCACTCAACTATTTAAATGCATTCAATTAAGCCACCTAACTATATTCTAAAGGACTCAAACTAATTTTTTACTGAAAAGTTCCTTTATGGTTCTCAGAAGCATCCAATCAATGGTACCGTACTCTCTTTTAGTTTTAAGGAAAATATAGTTGATTAGCCCATGCACATAAAGTTTGCTAGACAAAATTTTTATTCTACTACTATTTGTAAATAACATTCTACTAGAAAAAGATGATATAGTCTAACCTATAAAATTAAGAAATTTTTATCCAATAAATTTCTAATAGAAAAAGGTGACATATATTTCTTTCACATTTGACACAGCCTTTTATGTCCATAATTTTAAAAATTTATAATGATAAAAGTTTATAATGATAAGATTCTCAGTGGACTTAACATGGAAATTTTTGCACTAAGAGATTGACCTATATCAAAAGGGCAATAAATTTAGTTTGCTTTAAATTTAATATAAAAATTATTTCTTGAGTTATTCAATTTTTTAGAAAAAAGTTTTGTTATAAATTTTGTTTTGTTATAAATTTAGAATATGTCATAACTTTTAAAGTTCAAATAAATAAAATTAAAAAGCTGAATTTTGGTTCATTATACATGACACCATTTGATTTGAGGGTTAAGTTTATTTTAATTTATTGAAATTAGGACCAAATTGATAGAATATATAAGTAACAGTGACAAAATGTGTTACTATACCAAATATTTGAACTGCCACATCGGCTTCTCTGTTAAATATTAACGGCAAGTGGCATAATTGAATGCATATAATTGAGTGACCTGATTGACAAAATTTCAAAAATATTAGTCAAAATAAAAAGGGACAATAGTTAGGTGGTAACTTGTATAATTTACCTTTTATTTTAAATAATTTATCTTTAAATTATTAACTAATTTATAATTATACGTTGAATCCTTTAGAATTTAAATTTTTATAAATTAAATTAATGACGCTCGTCGTTAGCAGCGCTCGTCGCTTCTCGTCGAGCGTAGAATAATCCTCCTTAAATATATATAATTTTTATAAACTCTAACAGAGTTAATAGAATTTAATTATCAGATAATTTTTCTTATTTTTTAATATATATTTAAACAATAAAAATAAAGGCAGCGATTTCGAAGAAAAAAAGATAATGGGATAATATAACTGATAAGTTTGAATATAATTTTAACTCGACAAAGATAATTTTGGATAAAGGAGACAGGTTAGCAAGCATGGGAACTAAAACCAGACAGAAAATCGACAAAACATGATAGCTCAAACACAAATCTCTTACCATTATTATTTTATTACACTCATTAAATTTTCTCGACTTTATTATTATAATAGTGTCATAATGACTGTTTTCTAATGATTCAATAAATCTAATGATCATTTTATAATTTTTAAAAGCTCAGGGACTCAAATTAATATATAATCATAGTTTATAGACGTATTATGTTTTTAACAATTTTTCAGTATTTTTTCTGAAGTAAATAAATAAAGAAATTTTGTTGCTTGCTAAGTGCAAGCCTTTGCTTACCCTTACAGCAAAGAATATACAAATAAGTGAATATTAACTCCACTTTTTTTATTCTTTCTCATCTAAATTTTTATATTTTATAATATAAGATTTTTGTTATAATAATTAATATTTAATTCACCAGTTGATTAATCTAAATTAAATTTTATAAAATATTATTAAGAGATGGTTTTTTTAATTTATTTTTTCTTGTTCACAACGACATCTATTTGTTATTTTATTTGAAAATATTAATACTTTATTTATTAAAATAACTAACTTTTATATTGAGTTAATTAAAGATTTGATTTAGTGATTCACCTCGTGAACATCCTTCCATACGAAGAAAACATGTGTATTGTTTTATATTAATCTTTATATGAACCCCTAGAAATCCATCATATATTTCAAACTCGTTTCTTTTCGTTACATAATCGATGGTGGTTTGAGTTTGACATTAACTTGGTGATTGAGATATGATAAAATCATATTTTAATAATGTCTACTAGTATCGTCATTGTTTCAATTACTAACTCAACAACATAATATTTCAAGCACGGACTCGATGACATAATGTAAATAAAGACGCGGTCCATACAATACAACTCAAATAATTATGAGATCATATTTTATTGTATCACATTGAGCAGGTTAACGTCCAACTCATAGGATTACCAATTTTTTAAAGTAAAAGGAAAAGTTTATGACATATGAATAATTGAGTAACTATTTTGTAACTTTTAATAATAAGGGACTCAATAAAAATAATACCTTATAATCAGTGATCATTTTATAACTTTCAATAGTTAGAAGAATGAACAAAGTACCGTCTTGTAGTCGAGGGACAATTTATGTACTTTAACCTAAGATTTATCATAATTTAAAATATAGAGATGCTTATCTATATTTTGTTATTGAAACATATAATGGAATGTATTTTCATTCACATATGCTCCCATGGAATAAACGCGAACCACGTGTAGCGGGCGCTTGATAATTGGGCGGACAAAGCGTGGCTGAGTTGGAGAGCATGACGGTTCGAGTCAGCTCGTAAAAAATCAATAAAATATGGACACGCGTTCCCAATCAAAGACGGTGGCTTTCGGGCGGATATGGTGGTTTTGAGGCGGCGAACGCGGCGACTCGGTCACTATAATCGAAGCTTCGATGGGCAATAAAAACGATGGGAACCAGAAGACTTATCTACATAATATCATTTTTAAATCAAAATTTCATGGAACTAATTGAAACGCCCATATTCTTACATTTTTCTAATAAAAATAAAATTATAAATATTAAATTTATAATGGATAATGTAAAAGTTACAAAATGTCAGTTGACTATTCATTATGTTTCAAACTCATCTTTTTTTGCTAAAATATCGACGGTATTCTGAGCTGAACGTTAACATGTTGACTGTGATGTGATGAAATCTGATCTCGAGACCAATTTAGACAACCACTAATTTTTAACAGAAAATTACGATTTTGGATCATAATGAATAGTCAATGATCATTTTGTTACTTTTAATAGTCGAGAGATTTAATAAAGTAATATTCTATAGTCAGATGATTATTTTATAATTTTTATAGTCGAAGGACTTAAAAAACCCACCTTATAGTCGAGGGACCATTAGTGTATTTTACGCTAAAAATAATTATAAAAATAAATAAAAATTTATTTATATATTTATAGATAATTATAATCATACTATTTTCTATATATTTTTTATTTAAATTATTTTTTTGAATTAAAGTAAGAATTATACATATATATGTTTAGGATTCACTTGCATATTGTAAAAACTTTTAATTTTACATTTATTTAAGATTGTTTGACGAGTTTAAATAGACAATTGATATTATCTTCTTCTTTTTTCTTTTCTCATTGAGTATCTTCTCAATTCTTAGTGTTCATTCCAATAATCTATTATCACGCATCTGACATTCCTAAATCAATGTAAAGTTTTATAGTTTTACATTGTGTATCTGCATCCTACCTCATATAGTCATATGTGTGTGACAATCCTAAATCAATGTAAAACTTAGTTTTACGAATATTATCTCATATGTGTTCTTGCGTGCATGCATATGTGCTATATGTGTTGTGTGTGCATGTGTTGGGTAGAGTGTGATTTTTTTCACTTCAAAATCGGGTCGAGTTTTGAGTTTGATGGATTCTTTCTAAACCCAAATTAAATCAAATGTTGTTTAGATGAATATAATATTCGGGTCGAATTGGATCAGTCAAAAACCTAACACATGCCTAACACTTATAGACACTTGTCACAAGATTTAATATTGCTTCATACCCAGGGTGATGATTGAACTCCTTCCTGTCCACGGATGAAAGTTTAAAATTATTCCTTACCATCTCACCTAGGTTCATAGTTAATTAGAATCAAAGGATTGATCTCGGTAATAAAAAGGAATATTGTTGTATTATAATAAGTTGACTTCGAGTAATTTTATTTACGAGTGCGTTAGTTTATTCTAATTTATAATTAACTACATACACTACTTTGTGCATAGTGGAGGTTTGATGCTTTTCACTCTAAAGTGGAGGAAGGATGGGTGGTCAGCCGTGCTTTTTAGAAATTAACCATAGGCACAAGCCAAGAGCATATGCGGTGGGTGGGAATCGAGCTACGTACTTCTCTGAGGATCCTAGTGGTCACATCTCGGTGGTAGTTCCAATGGAATACATGTCCACGCAACCTTATAGTTTTTCATATTTGTGTGCGCTAGTGACGAGGGAGGCAATTTATTTATTCAATTTTGTTTGCTATGATTAGTTTATTGAGCTTCCCCAACATGTGGGCCCATCGCTGCCTTTTAAGATTTTGCCAAGCTCCTTATTTCTCGTTTCAGAGAATAAGTCATGGAGTTGGATATAATATTCAACAAGGAGTCTCCATATCAAGCTTGGTTGCCAATTATTGTAGTAACTCAGACATGGCGTCGCTGTTCTAGCAGAGTTGCCGAGAAGAAAGGAACACGTTGAGGGAGCTTTTGATTTCTTCATGTTCAGATTGTGATAGTCGTCGAAGCCTCTTCGGTTGGAATTGTTATGAGTTTTTAGTTGGTTGTAGATGTTTTGTTTGGTCGGTTTGAATATTTTTTTTTTTGGATTTGTCTCTGTTCGCTTTTGTTGTCTTTGTAGGCCTGATTTTCGCTTTTGATATGTCTGTTTGTTTTGTTCTCTTATTAGAACTCTTTTCCTCCATTTAGATTAGGGAGGTTTTTAATGAGGCTGATAAGTTGTTCTCCCTATCTTGATCTTAATAAATCTTTATTCCTATCAAAAAAAAAAAGAAAAATAAAGAATTTTCATAGTTAATTAATCTGTTTTTTAATAGTCTAAGACGATTACAAGATAATATATATTCAGAATCTTTTTTTAATCATTGACAACTCTCACATTCACAAATATAGTCGGGGATTTAAATAGCGGTCCGCGACCGCAATAGTGCCCTCGATATAGCGATAGCAGTGCCATCCACGATCGTTCAGCTATGTCTGCAATCACGACAAATGCGACACGACCGAAAATATGACCGCAACCGTTATTTGAATCTATAAATATAACTACTTAATCCCATAACGCATAAAAAAATAATACTCCTTTTTAACCAATGATTTAAAAAGATTAACACTATCAATAAACATTTAATGCCAAACTTATTAAACAATACATGCCAACAATAAGCATCAAGTGATTATTTTCATGCCTCGAAGAATATGGGAATATTTGGAAAAATGTGGATAAATGATGGGCAAGTCACTAACGCCTTTGGTTTTTGTTTTCTTTTTTTGGTGGTTGAATATCTACATATTCCAAATATTCTTCTACAACTAATACACTACGAAATACTAGGGTTGGTCCATGCATTCAAGGCCATTCCATGCATACACTACAACATAATGGTTCTATAACGGTAACTGCATCCGTAGGTATGTGTGCATAATGCATTGTCAATAGTTAAAAAAAAATTCTGAATTGATATTATTTTGTAATCTCTTTAGATTATTAAGAAAACCAATAGATTATTGAATATCGCATATTCCAAACGTTCTTTCACAGTTAATACCCTACTAAATAGCAAGAATACCAACACCTCGTGCCTATGACAGTGAAACTATCACAAGTTCTCCAAAAGTTGTAAAACAATATCATCTAAAAAAAAGTTACTTCCATTCACTCGAATTTAATTCGATAATTAAATTATAGCTAAAGTGACAAAAGACTTGATATTAAGTTTTTGGTTAACGGAGTCTCAAACTCAATTCCAAAACAATCGTATACCCCTCCCTTATAAAAAAAAAGGAATGTATATAATATAATTAAAAATAAAAATGATACCGACAAACAGCTAGTCTAGTGAGATGAGGCACTATATTCGTTCAGCAAAGTCAGAGGTTCAAATCCTGATATTTGTGTATAGAACAAATTGAGTTTGGATGGTAGTCCTCATAATGGGTTTCTATAAAACTCGATATGGACTAGTCGATTAATAAATCCGATTCTAATGATTAATTTAAAAAATCAAACAAATACCAACAATCAGTTGATTTAGTGGGATGAGGCACTAGATTCCTTAAAAAATGTCAGGGGTTTAAATCCTGACGTTTGCGTATAGAACAAATTGGGTTGGGAGGGTCGTCTCCATAATGAGTTTCTATAAAACTCAATCTGGACTAGTCGATCAATAAATCTGATACTAATGATTGATTAAAAAATCAAAACTAATATCAATAATCAATTGGTTTAGTGGAATGAGACACTATTAGGCCATCTCCAGCCCTCATCACTACTCTACAGCATCTCTATCTCTACTCTAAAGATGAAATAATAATTCATCTCCATCACTATCTCTACATGACCACCAACTCTACTTTATTCACAATATTTAACTATTAGTATGTTTATTTATCTAATTTCAATGTATTTGTATCTATCTTGCAATTTAATCTACTTGAATTTATTATATTATTGTTTAATTTTTATTTTATTATGTAGAAATTACAATAAAAAATATAAAAGATAGAATAAGAGAAAATAATGTAACAAAGAAAAGGAAAAGAAAATAACAAAAGCAAGTAAAAAATAACAAAAAAATAATATGTAGCGCTAGAGTAGAAAAAAACTTGCGTAGCGCCACCTCTTTATGGCCTCTTTTAACTGCAAGGTGGGGGGGGGGGGACTCAAGCCTTGTTGGTTTAGCTTCTTAGCAAATGATGGCTTTAAGTTGATCATCTCCATTGCGAACCGCGTGCAGCCTTCTTCTGCAGCTATATGTAATGGAGTGTCGATAAACTCCACCTCATCAACGTGCCTCAACAGATTCCCATTTCTCTGAATTAGTGAATTCAAATCACTAACATTTCCCATACAAGCAGCACTTTTCAAACTTTCATCCATATCGGGAGGTAGGATCAATTGAATATAGGAAGAGAGACATTAAGGTTAATAAGAAACTGTTTCTGTTGTACCGTCACACAATTTTTAGTTATTAAAAAGTAAATAAATATATCCTCAAATGTTTCAATCTTACACAAGATTGTGGTTATTTCTGTGTTAAAGCTTTGAAAGTATGGATTGTGTTGTTAAGGTAAAAAGATCAAAATTGGGATATAAAACATGTCCATCATGCATGTACGTGTGCAAGCTCGTCCACTAGCAAGTGTAGAATGTGATATGTCACATGGCTTCAAAATTTGGGGCTCATACTTAAAAAAATGTGTGGACTTAGATAAAAATATTTCCTTGGTAAGATTTAACAAAAAAATTCTAATTTTCTCTATTATTATCTCAACAATTTAATTATAATCAATTCTTTCTAAAAGATCATCAAATTTATGATCTTTAACGAACAAAAGAATTCTTATTTATGTCCATCCTAATTTCAATTTTCTTAAATTTTAATATTTTAATATTTTATTTTATTATAATATATTTTATAGATCTCATTTTAATAAAGTAGCATGACGACATATTTTATGAGACAATATGTGCGAGTGGAGCCATGAAATTAATCCATTTGAAAAGTCTTTAACCAGCTTTTCACTCTTTAGCTAGACTTAAACATTGGCGATGACTTGAGCTTACCCATTATCAACGAGTCAAGATAGTTGTTACATGAGGACATAAGAGAATCAATTTTATTTAGGGTAAACTATGCGGATAGTTCCCTATGTTATTGGTTTGATTGACTTTATCATTAATTTAAAAATTAAGAGGGAAAAGTTCTTAATATTATTGATCCGTTCGATTTTAGTCTCTCAGTCATTAACTTCAATTTGATTTTAGTCCCTTAGCCATGTTAGGGACTTAGACTAAAGGGACTTAAACAAAAGGAGTTTAATAAAAATTAATAATTGAAGAACTAAAATCGAATGGATCGATAATGTGAGAGAAAATTTCCTTTTAATTTTTAAATTGATGACTAATCAAACTGAAAACATAAGAAACTATCCGCATAATTTACCCCTTTATTTACTGTTTTTACCGACATGAGAAGAACCAATCAATATGCGTGTGGATCTTAGAAATCCCACCGTTTTTACCGACAAAACTGAGAAAAACCAATCAATATCTGTGTGGACCTTCGAAACCCACCGCTGTCACAGTCAAGATGTGAATTTCTAATGAAAAGAAAGGAGACTGAGGTGAAGAATAGAGAAAGGCTGAAACAAATATATTTATAAAAAAAATTTTAGATATAAGAGTATAAAGAAAGGCGTTCCCAATGCTACAAGTCTAACGAAAACGCGTCCAGTCTCTTTCAGGCACCAATAATAATGTTACTCTTTATTTTCTTACCAGAATAAAACAAGCCAAGCCAAGCTCCCCTGTTATTTTCTCTCTTTTGCTTCAATCAGTACCCTTTCATGGCTTCTTCTTCCTCTTCTCCTCCAATGAAGTATCAAGTTTTCTTGAGCTTTAGGGGTGAAGACACACGTCTTAACTTCACCTCTCATCTACACCAAGCTTTGAAGGGGAAGGGATTTGGTGTCTTCTTCGATGAAGAAGAATTGGAAAGAGGGGAGCGTATTTCACCTGCACTTTCTCGAGCAATTGAAGCATCAAGACTCTCCATCATCGTTTTGTCTAAAGACTATGCTTCTTCAAAATCATGCTTGGCTGAACTCTCCGATATTATGAACCGCAAGAAAACTCATGGTCAAATTGTTCTTCCCATCTTTTATCATGTCGATCCCTCTGACGTTCGGAATTTTGGTGGCAGTTTCAAAGCATCTTTTGATGTCCATGAATCAGATAGGCCTCGTGATGAAGTGAAGCGATGGAAAGCTGCCTTTGCTGAAGCCGGTAAATTAAAAGGGTGGCATATAGCTGGAGTCCAATTTGACAGGTAAACTATATTTTTTCTCATCTTCTTTTACTTCACTTATCTTTGGTTTAACTTTTATTTTTCTCATTATCCGCCAGATCTGAAACCGATTACATTAATGATATTGTTGAATATGTATTAAATAAGTTGATGAATAGTTATTCTGGAAGTGCTTCTGAAGAATTTATCGGAATAGATTATCAGAAAAAGAAGATTTTGGAGCTGATTAAGCAAAATCGAGTAATAGGACTCTGGGGCATGGGTGGTATTGGCAAAACCACCTTTGCTGATGTTGTTTATATGGAAGTCTCTAACACGTTTGAAAGTTGTTGCTTTCTTCAAAATGTTAGAGGGAAAATAGAAAAACAAGGGAGGGAATCCGTGCGAAACGAATTTCTGTCCATACTTTTAAAGGACAAAGAAATTCGTATAGACACCCCTTCCATAGGGTACCCTTACAGGGAGAGGCTGAACAATATACGAGTAATTGTTGTCCTCGATGACGTTAATGACCCAGAACAAGTAGACTGGATGGGTGTTAAACATTTTGGTGATGGAAGTAAAATCATTCTAACGTCTAGAGATAGACAAGTGCTTAAGAATGGAGGAGCTACCCAAATACATAAGGTGGAAGAGTTAAATGAGAAGTATTCTCTTCAACTTTTTTCTATTACTGCATTTAAGCAGTTGAATCCTTCTGTTGATTTTCAAGATCTACCCTACGAGTTTGTACGGTTAGCCGATGGCAGTCCACTTGCTCTTAAGATTTTGGGTGCTAAGCTATATTCAAAGTCTATAGAAGAGTGGAAAAAGTAAACAAGTTTGATGAACCAAAAATTTCACAGATTTTGAAGAGTAGCTTTGATGGGTTGGATAAACTACAGAAGGATATATTTCTCGACTTAGTATGCTTCTTTAAAGGGGAATCAAAAGAAGAAGTTGAAAAATTTCTAAGTTGCTTGTATAAAGGTGCTGTGAGTGGACTAAGCAGCTTGCTCGACAAATGCCTATTTGACATCAATTCTTATGGGCGGATTTCTATGCATGATATGCTTGAAGAAATGGGTAAAGATATTGTTGATCAAGAATCTAAATACCCTGAAAAGCGTACAAGGCTGTGGAATCCTAAGGACGTGTGTTAAGTGCTCAACAATACTAAAGTAAGAGTTGTTTGTATTTATATTCATTTTTTCCTTTCGTATGATGTCCTATGGTTCAGTATCACACTATTTATATATATATACACGCACGCGCACACACTTGATATTATGTAAAATATATGTTTTAGGATATAGCATAGGATCTGCTCAAGTGTTTGTTGGGTTAGTTACATATCTAATGCACTGCTTTTATATAGAAAGACAATAAAAACAAACATGTTTAATGATATGTTCAATTAGCGTAAGCATCTCCTAATATAATTGCATTTTATTTACGATTTAACTAGAATGCATGTAATCTTTTTTATACTAATACTTTGGTAAATTGTTTTTTTATGTCAGGGAACTGACCGAATTGAAGGAATAAAGTTCAAGTTGTCTCATAGTGATAGCCTAAATTTAAGTCCTACATGTTTTGAGAACATGTCTAATCTTAGATATGTCAAATTCGAAGTTACATGGAGTCGGACGGAGGAACAAACTACAAATGGAGTTGATATTGCATATCTTCCAAATGAGTTGAGGTATCTTGAGTGGGACTATTATCCCTTCAAATCTTTATCACTAAATTTTAATCCAAAGAATCTTGTAGTCCTACAACTCTGGAATGAAGATTCTCAGGTATATGCTTTTATGCTTCCTTCATCTAGGAAAAAAATATGTATAATTAAGTATAAAAGATTTTTAAAATAAATATATTCTACTTATTCTAAAGAAGAAAATTTGTTTAGTGAATTCACGATCATCAAATCTAATATTTTATAATTATATGTTATGCGACTAAAGTAAATAGATAATGCTTACAAGTAATACAATTATTTTATATGTTTTTTGTACATGATCTTGTTAATTTAAGGGAAATCAACGTTTTCTTTTGCAATAAGTTAAGGAAGATCCCTAATCTATTAGGAGCCATCAACCTCGAAAGCCTTAACTGTTCGTCGTGTAGTAGTTTGGTCGAACTTTCTGAACTCCCAAAGATGTTGAATCACTTAGATTTATCGTACACTAACATAAAAGAAGTGCCTGATTAATTTGAGCATCTGGACAGACTTGAAACATTGGATTTGAGCTGGTGTCGAATTGTAGAAGTGTCCTTTTCTTTAGAGCCTTCAAATAATCTTCAACGGTTGATAATGACTGATTGCCTGAGCCTCAAATTACTCTCAGAGCTTCCATCAGACCTGAAGTACTTGGATGCATATTGTTGTGAATCATTAGAAAGTGTATACTTCACTGATCGAAATTTCCATTCTTTTGATGGTGAAAGAGACTATACAATGATATTCTTTAATTGCTTCAGCTTGAATCAAGATTCAGTTGATAACATCGAGGCAAATGCCATGCTTCAAGTTCAATTCCTAGCGGAGAAGTGGGCATCACGATATGATCATGAGTTCTCGATTGATCCCAAACCAATTTTGGTATATTGTTTTCCGGGAAACAAAATTTCAGCAGATAGATTTGAGTATCAAAGCATGAATTCTTCATTAAGTTTGAAGATAGCCACAAGGGGGAGTAGTGGGAAATCTTAAATTTATCTGTGAATATCAACTGTTAGCCGCCAGTGGTAATGACGGCGACGGTGGTTTTAAAAAGTTCAAAAGTTAATTAATTTCCCGGGGAACTGCTAGGAATTTTTTTAAGTGCAAGGGTTATCATGTTCACATTCTATGTGGGAAGGATATGGTTAAAGAAGACCAGAATTATGAGGAGGCATCGTTTCAATTCTACATCAAGAATGCAGAACATATCAAGGTGAAGAAATGTGGAGTTCATGTGATTTACGTGGATGCAGAGAGTTGCACCATTACTGATGTGATGAGATGTGATAAATCCAACCTCAATTTTGATTCTCAAGGAGATGCTAATACAATGGAACCCCATCACCATTCAGCTACAGAAACAAGCACAAGGAGATCAAAGCGGCACAGGGTCGAGTGATTGGAACTTAGAAATACATTTGCTTCTCTATCACATCTGATAACTGCACAAATAAATTATTAGTTAATCTCTTGTTATATCAGATGCAGAAACAACAAGAAGGGGATCAAAGCGGCACAGGGTCACAGGTGATTGGAAATTAGAAATACATTTGCTTCTCTATTACATCTGATAAATGCAGAAATAAATTAGTATTAGTTAATCTCTTGTTATATCATTATACAGGTCATTGATCATGTTGTCGCTGGCACTAGAATCCATGTCGTTGGTCCCGATGATGATCTGTGTAGTATATTTTTATTTTGGTTAAATTCACGTCTGGCCCTTCTGATTTCGTAAGTTACTCAATTTAATCTTTAAATCACATGTATTAATTGTTAGGTAACCTATTTAATTATTTTTCCTACAATTAGGTACAACATGTTTATTTATTAATTATTATAGTTTTACTAACGTATTTTTGTGTTTCAAAGAATATAAGGGCGTGCATCACAAAGTTATTTTTGTGATTTAAAAAATCAAGGTAATGTTATCGTGTCACGTTAGCTAACGTGTTAATGTCCTAACTCATTAGATATTATTTTGTTAATTAGTGGTGACACATAGATATCATTCATAAACTTCTCATCCTTTTTTAAGCGTAAACTACAACAAATATTGTTGAACTTTAAGCCCGGACTCATTTACAACATCAAGTATTTAATGTTGTCAATTTTAATACTAACTTTTACTTTTAAGTACAATTATCAACACTAGCTAGTCTCTTGTTATACAATTTAATCGGTGCTATTCAACATATATATTAATTTTGTTAAGATTATAATAAATTCTTAAGTTAGTTTGGTGGCTGGGTGTTTAGTATTACCACAACACACCTCTGCCATGTTATCGTCCTGTTAAGCCATGATTTGATGATGTCCTTTGTTTTTTCTTAATATGAATGGATATTACCACAAGGTAAGGCTAGGAAACAACTTTCATGGGTCTTTCTGGTTGGATGACAGTAGGGACTGGGGAGCCGTATATGCAGCACAAAGAGATAAAAGAGGCACAGGGTACCAAGACCGCTGCACAGGTGATTGAAACTTAGCAAAATATTGGCTTCTCTATTGCATCTGATACCTGCACAAATAAATTATTAGTTAATCTCCTGTTACATCATTATGCAGGGCGTTGAACATGCCATTGCTGGCACTAGTACCTATGTCGTTGTTACTGATGAGGATGTGCAAAGAAGCAATCAAGGATGAATGGATGACTTAAACATTGGCGATGACTTGAGCTTAGCCATTATCAACGAGTCAAGAGAGTTGTTACATGAGGACATAAGAGAATCAATTTTATTTAGGTAAACTATGCGGATAGTCCCCATGTTATTGGTTTGCTTGACTTTGGTCATCAATTTGAAAATTAAAGGAGAATGGTTCCTAACGTTATTGATCTGTTCGATTTAAGTCCCTGACATTATCGATCCGTTCGATTTTAGTCTCTCAGTCGTTAACTCCATTTTAATTTTAGTCCCTTAGCCATGTTAGGGACTTAGATCAAAGGGACTTAAACAAAAGGGATTTAATGAAAATTAATAAAAAAAATTATATTTTATTAAAAATTAATAAAAATATTTTTATTAAAAATTAATAAAAAAATTATATTTTATTAAAAATTATCACATCGACGTGATGAGTTTAAATAAAAATATTTTTATTCAAACATGACACCTCAACGTGCCTAGTTTCATAAGCACTATAAAAAAAATTTAGATCCCAAAATAAACTCCTACTTGCCATATTTTTCCAAATTATTTACTTGTATGTCCTATTGGACTAAAAACCGCTAGCATCTACTTCATCGGTGGCCCATTTTACTTTAGGCATCAATGACTAAAGAAATAAAGTGACTAAAAATTCAATTCTAAATGAAAATCATTCAATGCTTATCACATATTATGTAACGACCAATTAATTATAAACTAATCAAACTACTAATAGAAAAATAAAGGATACAATTCAATTTGTAAAATCTTTTGTGAGGTGTTATTCTTGTTATATAACTGAATCGGTGCTATTTTGCATATATATTAATTTTGTTAATATTATGATAAATTCTTAAGTTAGTTTGGTGGTTGAGTGTTTAATATTACTTCATAGAGGTCTTTAGTTTGAATCTCTTTAAAAGTATAGTTTTTCATAAACAAACGACGTTGTTTTTGGCTTTTTAAGCATCAAAAGAGTCAAGTCAAAAAACGTCGTTTTGGTGAGGCAACCACATCAACAACGTCACGACACACAACAGCCACGTTATCATCCTGTTAAACCATTAACGGCGGAGTAACATAATTGCACTTAATTTTTTTTTTAAATTGTCTAGGGCATTTAATGGTGAGATTGATTTCAGAACTATTGAAGCAGTATTGGTTAACGGTGTTTACATGTTTTTTCATCAAAAAGTTATTTTTGTGTTTTTAAAAACCAAGACAATGGTCTCAGGTCATGTTAGCTAACGCGATGGTGTCCTAGCTCTAGATGTTATCTTATTAATTATTCGTGATATGCGGGTATCATTCTCAAATTTCTCGTCGTTTTTTCAAATAAGATAATGTTATTTTATTATGGTAGTAATGTGATGGTGTCCTAATTCATTGGATGTTATCTTTTTAATTAATCTTGAGAGGAGGGCATCCTTCGCAAAATTTGCATTCATATAAGGATTATATTGGATGTTATCTTTTTAAATTGTAAATTTAAATATGATGGTGTCCTAATTCATCACATGTTTATGATATTCTCTAATTGCTTCAGCTTGAATCAAGATTCAATTGATAACATTGAGGCAAATGCCATGCTCAATATTCAATCCCTAAGTGAGAAATGGGCATCAAGATATTATAAGGAGTTCTCTCCGGATCCCCTACCAAAACTGATTTGTTGTTTCCCGGGAAACAAAATTTCAGCAAATAGGTTTGAGAATCATAGCATGAAATCTTCCTTGAATTTGAAGATAGCCCCAAGTGGGCGTAGTGGGAGCAGATTCTTGGTTTTTGCTATATGTCTTGTGGCCGATCTCACTGACAGCGGTCGCATTAAAGATCTTGAATTTATCTGTGAATATCAACTGGTAGCCGCCAGTGGTAGTGATGGTGACGGTGGTTTTGAAAAGTACAAAAGTGAGTTATTTTGCGAGGCAAAGCATTGGACGAATGGTATTTGCATGGGTGATCATGTGTACATTCTGTGTGGTAAGGATATGGTTAGAGAAGACAAGAATTATGAGGAGGCATCGTTTCAATTCTGCATCAAACATGGCACATTCAATGAAGAAGAATATATGGAGGTGAAGAAATGTGGAGTTGATGTAATTTACGTGGATGCAGAGAGGTGCACCATCACTGATGTCATGAGATGTGATAAATCCAACCACATAAAATGGGCAATTTGTTCAATAATCTGTGATAGTTGTTCTCGCCTGATATATTATCCATATCACGGAAAATCAGTAACGATGCTTTGGTAACATAACTGGCGGTTTGTTTCTCCAACTTAGGTATAAACTT